TCGTCATAAATTTGGGCTATTTATCACCGAACTTGTACACAAGGTGAACTGCAGCTCTGTAGTAAAACCACAAATGTCAACCCAAGTAAGCGCATGCGTAGTAGATTGGACGAATTATGTATACGATGACGTTATAGTCTCGTCTAATATACATTTGTTACTTTTGGTGTTTTATGGAAATAATCTCAGTTGAAAACACAAGTTAATTCCGTGGTTGAACTGTTAAGAATGAGATACATATTCCAGTTTTAGTTTGTAACTGCAGTAAACAAGAAGTAGTAATGGTAGTGCACGAAGGAGAAGTGACAAAATCCAGCCGTGTATCTTGTGTTACACCACGTCAGCAGACATAAACATGGTTGCCACTGCATGTAAAACGGTGGCCAATAGTGTAAGATTGGGTAGAAAATTTGATTTCAAACTAGCAGGAGCTTATTAACATAACTTGCCAATGTATTTGTCGGATCAGATAACTGGCTGATATACAGGCCTGGCCAAAATGTTTGATTATTTTGTAAAATATGAGATTATTATTATTATCAAGATGGAATATAAATACACTTAGCTCTAACTAAGAAATACATGTTATATTAAAGATATGCATATGTAATTTGTATAATGAGACAGGTTCTATGGACATCATGAATTATTTATTAAAACAGCAAACAATTTTATCAAACACCTGTAGAAAGATGTATAATTCACCTATCACAACAAAACCTTGCCAAAACATATATAATGACAAAATATAACATCAAATGATTATAAGTAGTGTCTGTAACCTTATATCAGTTCATATTAAACATTTAGTACTTGGTTAGTCCTTTTCGTACTGCAATAACCTTCGCAAGGCGACATGGCATGCTGTCGATGAAGTTATTGATGTAATCCATCGTGATGTCATCCCAATTTGTCACCAGAAGGCGTGGCAACTCAGCTACAGTAGCTGGTTTTGGGTCGTGGTTAGCAATTTTGTGGCTCATTTAGGCCCAACAATTCTCAATGGGATTGGAATCTGGAGACTTTGCTGGCCATGGCAATCTTATAATGTCGTCCTCGTCGAGATAATACGCGCACTGTAGGTAGTGGTTTTGTGATCCTGAGACACAAAGATTTTGTAAACCTTTGCCCTAGCATATAGCAGAATTATAGTCTTCATATGAAGAGTAATTTTTCCACCATGATAAATAGCTGCTCAAACATGTACTGTACCACCTCCTGTGTGTTCCCTGTGGGAAAGACAATCTTCTCTCATCTGTTTTCCAAGCAAACGATGAACATAAATCCTATCATCAGCTTTAACAAGCCAGAAACAGGATTCATATGAAAATAAGACATGTCGCCATTGTCCTAACTGTAAGCTGGCATACTGTCTTCCTCAAGTAACACAGTGACGGCGGTGAATTCTGGTTAATATCGGTTTGCAGATAGCCCTTCTTGCAAAATAGCCTTGTTTGGTCAGTCTCCTATACACTGTACTTCTGGATAACCTGTAATGAATGTGTTCATGCCATTCCTGTCGTAAGATGTTGCAAGACTTCTTTTGACTTTGACCCGTTAACCTGATCAAAACACGGTAATTTCGGGCAGTAGTTTTACGGCGTCTACCAATAGAAGTTACCGGAACATACTTCATTGTAGTCCGATGACGTTTCAGGATTCAGAATACACTACACTGGGAGTACCCTCTGTTCTGGCAATGTCAGTTTGCTTCATACTATTTTTGGACAGTCGAACAATTTGACGACATATACCTTCTGGCACATGACAAGGCAATATTCCAAATACAGAGAAATTGTCTGAACAAAGCGTTGATCTGTTTCGAAAAAGATTATACCAAGAGCATATCCTTTTATACAAAAAGGTGTGTATGTGTGTTTTGACGAACAAATGCTCAAAACAACTTATACAGTCTAGAATAACAACTCGTACTTGTTTGTTCGATCATACGTTACCTTCGCTGTTACTACTCGGGCATTTACTCAATAACTACTCCATACATGTAGACAATAACATCAATATAGAACAGTATGCAAACAGTTTGGTGAAGACTGTAGAGGGTGTATAAAAAGAGTAACGAAGATGTCGTTTCTTGTGATAATAGAGTAAATAACTGAGCTTTGTACATCCCAATAGAGTAAATAACTGAGCTTTGTACAACCCAATAGAGTAAATAACTGAGCTTTGTACAACCCAATAGAGTAAATAACTGGGCTTTGTACAACCCAATAGAGTAAATAACTGAGCTTTGTACAACCCAATAGAGTAAATAACTGAGCTTTGTACAACCCGGGAAACTATGTGCACAAACAACTCAGTGATTTGTTAGTCGATTCTTTACTAACTGCCTTAAGTGTTCTATAAGCAAAGATACATTTTGAATAAAACTTTAATCTAACACCTGTTTTGGTTGATCAGGAAAACTGTCAACTCTGACGGAGGCAATTAATTGATTATGGTGCTAAGTGAAACTAGACGAGTTCAAAGATCATATAATTGATTATTTTTACATAAACATTTTTACTTTTAAACAACAACTACCAAGAAAAAAACATTGTGAGAATTTTACTATCTACGAAATACCTTATAAATATACAGTTTTTGATTAACTGAAACTGAAGCCACAATGTTCACTTTTATTTAATTGTTCATTCTAATCTTCCGTTCCAGATCTTTTTTCTTTTCTTTTGAAATTAACAATTTTAGTTTTCAATATCAAAGAATGGCTTAGAGAAAGAAAAGAAGAAATGTAGCGAAATTTTAAAAAATCAAGTTAAAGCAAAGTATGTAAATGAAAATATACACAAATTATGAGAAGTACAGAAACATAGTTTGGATAGATTTAAAAAGGTGAAATGAGAGTGAAAAACGAAATATCGGAAACCCAAATACGAAATGTGATTGGAGTACTGAAAATTTAAAACCCTGCTGACAAATTATGGCATTGTTAAAAACAATAAACCACGAGTTTAATAACGCCATTTCTTTCACGAATATATTCCTTTGTAATGTTAGAGCTGTGACAAATGCCTGATGATTAAAACGACTTGGTTAGACATCTTAGATTGTTAAAGTATACGACAGAAAGTAATAACGACGATGAAAGAAATTCCCTGTAAGCTAAATAGGTCATCAACCTTCACCATACTAATCTTATTTTTGTTAAATGTAGCTAAATATAAAAGGATCGCTTCAGATCAAAGTATTTTAATACAAACACATAATCTGATTTTGTTGTACAGATATATAACATTACTTGCTGGTGAACTCACTCCATTCAAACGGTATTTGCTTGAATCTCTGTGTGGTCAAGTGACGGGTTCTTAGTGACGTCACTCAAGGAATCTGAAGTTCTGGTCACCCTAGAGTTGAAAAGAAATGTTGGTGTCATTCATCTTTAAGAAGTCTTACCCAGGGAGCCACCCGCACAAGAGGTATTTTAATTTCATACATGTCATTCTGTAGCCAGTTTGGATATTCCAACTCAGAACTCGTAGCCAAACACTTATCTGAAAGAAAATCATATCGTGTAAAACAGACTGTGCTGTTAAAGGTAAGATCTGATTTTATATCAAGTGTGGAATGCTAAGAGTTATAGTAGGTTGATTTACTGATGCATTTCAAGATTTCCTGTGTGAATAGTATACACATATTAGTGCTGTAAAGTTTAAATTATGTAAATTTTCAAAAACTTTATCATGTTTGTATTTTAAAACTTAAACAGTCTTATAAGAATTAATATATTCAAATTAATTATGTATTTAGCGCTCAATTTAGAACGATACCTTAAGATGGAAGGGGCTACAAAGCTCAATATCGTTGAAAAGTTCACGAAAATATCAGTATATTTGTTTTATTCAATAACTTCACATGAACGTTTAACTGGAAAAAACGAAAAAAAAAACACACTGATTCAGATGTTTAATTAAAATGTAATTAAAAGTTCAAATAAATTTTATTATAATGTTGACTAGTAAGATAATAATTAATATAAGAAGATTTTGCACATTTGAAAATCACAAGAGAAAAGAAACAATTATCACAATTTAGTTAGATGCACGTTAGGTTGAATTTGAATGGTAAAATGCTTTATTAGTTATATTTTTACTCATAGCTTTTTGTTTTATTAGTCTATTATGTTTACTTATAGCTTTTTGTTTCATATTCTTTTATTCCAACAAGCTCTGAGGTATGTTTATTCTTTCTAACTAACCCTTAGACAATTACATTGACTCGAGCAACTCGTACCTTGTTTCTTTGTGTCGTTTTGTGTACCATTAGTCGCAACTGTTTGTTCAAAGTGTATTGTGTTTTTCGTTTTTTTGTGTGTGTTTTTAGTATTTTGTGCTCGCATATGAACAACGGCAACGGGTTGAAAACCATGAACTCTCGGTTTCAAAGTTTAAGCACGCTATTCACACGTGCACACATTTTATATGACGTATTTTAAGTATAGCGTCAATTCATAGAATAAAACGTACTAAGATTAATCATCTAATCACAGAAGATAGTTAAGAGTTATCTCTCACTCTATTGTAAAATCCCTGTAGTACGCTCGAGGGATGTTCCTTCTAAATCTCAATGTCTTCCATCCAAAGTTTGTTACTGAGTAGATTATACAACACTATGTGGAATAATCGAAATACATTTGTATTTCATGCAAGCTATATATCAAAACCAACTTTCTTACGTTCATAGCTGCCGAAATCACGTTGTTATCGAGTCTAAACATAGTCATTTGGTTCATCTCACTTCACTTCTTTCAGTTTTATTTTATAAACAAATTTATAGACCATTGATGGCAATGAGTAATTTCGACTAATCTCCCCAAATATTTGTTTTTTTGTATTATAATTTTCCACGGGTACATTAGTGGTATTTTTAGGAGGAAAAGAATTGCACCTCCAAATCTACAACCCTCTGCATAGCTGTGGTATAACTTAGAAAAATAAAACAAATTATTAGTAATCTATTTACATTTTCATCCTCCATCTTCCTTCCACAAAATTCCCACAAGGAACCACTTCTCACTAACCCCTTCTGTGGGCACTACTGAGCTTCACGATTAAACAGACACCTAGTGAAAGAAAAATGCAAAATAATCTTTAATGTTAATTTCATGCTCCATGCTTTGGTTTAATTTTTTTTTCACTTTACTTTTTTGTTTCATTTTATAGAATAACTAGTGACAGCAAAAGATGAAATCACACATACTGATAATATTCGTTGTGCTGATAGCCTATGCTATTCCATACACAACATCAGTGGAAGATGCTGGTAAGGATTTTACCTCAAGAACTGTGTTTTACGAAGACCAGGATGTACTGGTTATTTTGCAACCCATCTTCACCATGATGTATCCCGATTTTTCAATATGGAATTTTCTGGGATTGAGAAGTGCAAGGAATATGCATAACTGGAATACAATTGATTTCCACGAAAATCAACAAAACAATGTCAGAATAGGTCGTGAGAACAAGATAGACTTAGACAACCAGTTCTTTGGTGTTGTCCTTCAATTTGCGTTTCCCTTTTCTGTTCCTATTGTACCTGACTACAAAAATCCAGAGGCAAACAATTTTCAGAAAACGAGAAGATCATTCGAGAAATCTTCAGATAAACTAAGTTCTATGTCTGTTGTATTACCCTCGGGGGAGGAATTTTCGCTCATGGATGTCTGGAATCAAAACTGGGGAAAAAACGCCATCTGCCAGTTGTTAAATAATTACAAAGACAAATCTTCAGTTGTGGAAATGTTGCTTAATATAATGAGGTAACTAATTTCATTGGGTTGTATATATAATGAATAACTAATTTCATTGGGTTGTATATATAATGAGGTAACTAATTTCATTGGGTTGTATATATAATGAGGTAACTAATTTCATTGGGTTGTATATATAATGAAGTAACTAATTTCATTGGGTTGTATATATAATGAGGTAACTAATTTCATTGGGTTGTATATATAATGAAGTAACTAATTTCATTGGGTTGTATATATATAATGAGGTAACTAATTTCATTGGGTTGTATATATATAATTATTCCGTATTATTTATTCTCCTGAAATATAATGAATGGGATTCTGTTTCTATTGGTTTTAAACCTAGATTTAGTTCCATCACAGATTCATGGAAGGTAAAGGAATACATTTTGATTGAAATAAATTAAATATCTTTAGACATGAAAAAATGTTTTAGAACAAAATTTTCTTGGCAGTGGTGTCTCAATAAACAATTAATTTTCATATGTTTTGCAATTTGTTACTTATCAATGAAGAAAAGAGGCAGAAAACAGTCTAAAAACATAAAATTTGATATTACCATTCTGACAAATAAAGACAATTTTTTCATTGACAAAATAGTGGAATGCAGTTATTAGAGAGAATTTTGCTGTTAGAAAAATAAAAAATGTTAATTCTTGACCTACAACATTATTATCGAACCAGCCCTTGTTGTTTTAGTGAATATCTACACAATGGATTATCTGAGATCTGCCCAATATGGGGAACCTAATTTTTTGCGTTGAAAGTCCATAAACTTATCGTTGACCCGCCGGCGACCACCAAACCAAAATTAATAAAATGGCAACACTAACTACCTCTGATCTCTGATCGTTATTTTGGTCAAGTGACCTGGGAGGATCAGGTATAGTAACACTAGTGTCCTCGTGTTTAAATAACCCGGGTAGTACCAGTTGAAACGTCAATGCACGATTAATTAATTTGTAAAGTGCATCTTTTATAATTGATTTCACTTGGTAAGATTATATCAAATGAACACTTTATCCTGTATTTTAAGGACACTAGGAAGTCAATCTTTAGGAAATCTAACCTTAATTGGAAGATACATTTTTTAAAATTCGTTGTGTAATTCTGATTAAAATAAAAATAAACTTACATGCGTATTTTAAAGAACAATATCTATAGTTATTTTCTGTTACTGTGCGCTTTATATACACCTATATATTTTTATATGTGGCTTTGTTTTATTAGACTGGGAAATTTCGTTTTTACAGTTAACAACACCGCATACTGACAGAGAGATTTAATTTATCTTAACACTAGGCAACTCTTTTCTCAAGAACAGCACTGGAGTTGGTAGTAGTTGTTCTCTGTTTACTTGTGAGGCCTGTTTTTGTGGAAATATTTGTTGGTTTTCTAAAGCCAGGACAGAAGAACGTGATTAGGAAAAACAACATTTCTTTCGTAATCAGTATATGGAGGAAACGAAATCTTTTGATATTCATTTAGCTGCAAGTGATGGTAACAACAACATAATCCGACACATGATCCTATACCTAATTCACGTCCAGAGACAGATACTTGTAAACGTTCTGTTGATTTAAAAATAAAGTTGTGATTTACAAAACTTTATGATAATGATAAAAATAATCAAAATTGCAAGTTTTAACCTGGGAATCATGGGATACATTTTTCTCAAAATGATGTTCACACACTTACATCATATTCAGGAGTTTTATGTTTTTACAGAACTGACCGAAAATGTGAGTAAAATTGTCATTTCTGTGTCAAATACAAAGATAATTTCAGTAGTAATTACTGGCATTAATTGCAATATTGTTGTTTAAACTATTTTGTATGATTCATCTATATAAATAAACATCAATATGTGTGTGTGTGTATATCTGTTCCTTACACGTTTCTACTTTTCTTGACCAAACTTGACGCAATGATACAGGATGACATTAGGGTTTGAACCCACATCTAATTTCATATCTAATTTCGGAAAAACTACCAATCTTGTATATTCCTCAGTACTAGGATGAACTGTGCGACCACTACTGTTAGAATTATTTAATAAAGTATGTCTTTCTCTTCAGTATTGGCAGCTTTATGTATTTTTATTGCACTTTTAATGGTTATTATGGTAAGAAACAAAAATAGAAGCACAATTTCCTATTCTTTGTTACAAACAAGTTTTTACTTCACCAATTCAACGGAAGGGTACTCCAGCTAGTATACTGGATTTTGGCAGTGCATTCCGCATATAATCTGTTTTTATTAATCTTTCCAGATTTCTGTATATATATATATATATCTTTTCTGTTTATAAATGTTAAGTGATTTTATGACTCTCTACATTAAAATGTTTATACATTAATCGTTATTTATTTTGTATTAATTTTTTCTTTACAGATTGATTCCAGATACCGTACGTGAAGACTTAAGAAACGTATCGCCTGAGGACATTAACGTTATGACGTCAGCAATTAGTTACTGTGGTTAATAAGACATTCCTCGTTATGTGAAAAGTGTACAAAATTTATGAATAACAACTTTAGTAAATGCTACGGTTAAACAGTTTGTAGCAATTTGCTAACTTGGTATGAAATACTATAAAGTAACAGAGTCGTACGGGGCAAAAATTACGTGGGTCGGGGCTATAAGAGCTGAGAATGTAGACGATACGTTTGTGTGGCATGCTTTTAGTAACCTTTCAAACGAGGAAGGAATAGTAACCTAGACCATAAATTATTAACATATATTTAGAATTAATCTGCCTACATCAGACATAGACCCAGCGGTAGGGGGACTATTGCTGCCCTGCCCACTCGATTTCTATGCCTATGTGACGTGATGTTAACGTTACTAAAAACGTTGAAAGTCTACGTGAATCTATTCTATTGAAAATATGCCAATAATCCAATGTTTGATTACGACACTGCTAATATCCTCATAAGTACAAAAGTGAAATTTTGCACTGGTGAAGTATTTAAGCAACGAAATAAGTCAACTAATTGAAGTAGCAGTAGCAAGCCCACGTAGAGTGATTGAACAATTAAGAGATGTATCATCTTCCCTATATCCCAGCACTAGAAGCTTACTTATGTAACTATTACAGATCCCAGAAAGACGCATGAATTACAAGGGAACATCTCACGATATTTCCCATAATGCCTTATATGCAGAATACTTTGCTCAACTTTGCGCCCGCCACTTTAATCAGAGTATAAAAATACTAAGAGTCGTTAAACAGGCACCAAAGCTAACTTGTATGTTTTTGCACATTTAAACGTAGTTATCATGTCCAGTCTCTTCACTTCATAAACAATAGTGCTGCATTTCAGGAAAGTTAACCATTCCTGAATCGCATATAACACACACACACATAAGTGTATTTTGTATCCGTATGCGATAATAATAATAATACAGTAATAATGAGATACGTATCATACAGTGTGTTGGTTTCACTTCTACCCAGTTTATTCATTTGAAGTTAAAAGATTTCATGGCCACAAGAATTCCAGTCAAATCTAATATTTGAAACTGAGAGTTGAACGTCATGTGATTAAAACCACTAGGCGACAGAACTGATGAGCAGAAAAAGTCGAAGTAGGAATTGTTGTTTGGAAGGTTTGCTATTCGATGTTGATGCTTCATTAGACGTAAACTTTTTATTGGCCATTTAAAAAACAATAAACAAAGAACTATAAAACAAATAATTACTAAAATATAATATTTCCATCACATATTGCATGAATATTCAAACAGTGTGTGAAATGGTGTGTTGACTTTTGTTTAATTAAATGTAAAAATTCACAGACGCCTCAATGTACCAATAAAGTTTTTTCCATTATTCCAAGTTACTTTTACAGCTACCACAAAACGTTATGAATGGATTAACGAGATTCCCACTGTCCCTATCTACTATCTAGAGTTACCACAGCTAAGAGAACGGGCTTGGAGAAATCAAGTGTTGTTTTAGGAACGAGTTTGCTTTCTAAGGTGGTTTTCGTCATTCGTTCTATTAGAGTGTTTCGGACCATTTTAAGCAGATTTTCTTTTCTTTGTAAGTCTAATATCTATGCTTTTTTTTTCTTTTTCTTTGTGTACAACCCTAGCAGTCAATAGTAAATGTTCTAAAGTATTGTTTGAACTGAATATTTACTGTTTAAGGTGCTGTTTTCCCGAACGTTCTATTATGGTTTCTGCAATTTGTTGCGATCCTTATTATGAACCATTACCATTGTTCACGATAATGTGTAGACTACCCGAGCATGCTTCCCAAGGTTGGTTTCTGTAACTTGTGAGAAGGGGTAAGAACACAGTTT